TTTTTATATTAACTAATTTACTATTTCTTAAATCTATTAATGCGTGCGAATGTTATCCTAGTTTAAATCTATTTATTTTAACGCATTTATTTTACAATGAGATACCAGCACTTCATTTATTAGCTTGTCGACGCATTTTAGTTCTAAACAAACGGCTGTTAATATATTTCTAGTATTTGTTTTGTTAGGTACTCACTCTAATTATTTCAGCAGACCTGACGTGGTGTCGGCGTGTCCTGAGACGATAACCTATTGGACGCAGTGACATAGTAGCGAGTGAAGAAATAAATAAATATATAAAAAAAATTTTTTTTAATTTAATTTACTGTACGTTCGGATTGGTACGGTATAAAAGAGAGATGAGCGCCGCGCAGGATAGAAAGAAAAGCATAGCGGGGCCCATATTTCTAACTCTAATTAGGAGAAAACGCACACACATAGATATGCAAGTCACCCCTACAAAGGGAAAATTGAAACTTGGGTTATATTTAGTTATACGAGATTATTTGAAAATAAGAGTTGTATAAAAAAACAAGAGTTATTATCAAAAAACTTATAGATGCAGTACAAAATACATACATTATTCATATACATCAGCTCATTACTGAACACTGAATTGAAAACGTACGTCACGAACAAGCAACATGAGCAACTGGAATTACAGCTGTAAATGGCTCTATTTATAAAAATAGGAAATTTGTACATGAATTTATTCATAAATAAAAGTTAAGCATGATGTAAATGTAACTGTTAGTTATTTTAAACATATTTTTACGGCTCGTACACGAGTGGTGTCATAATGTCGCGTCACGCATGCGCTGTAAGCCATATCAATTATATGCTCGCAAAATATTTATTATTTTACTTTTATTTTGAAAGTACGATTGTTTTATATGAAATAAAAATTGTTTATGTATTATTCAAACACGTGCGATCGTTTAGTGCCCTCTAATTATAAAAAGGACATGTGAATTTCGAGAAAAAAATTGTTAATTATTGTTGAGCAAAAATAAGAATTTTAACAATTATTACTCGTTAACGAAGGTACGCAGTATTTTTCAAAGACGGATTCGTTACGAACATGTTACGCGGAATTTTCGGATATATTTTTTTTACTTTTTAGATTATATGTATGTTGGGGTCACGAAAATAGAGAAATGACAGAAATAGGAAAAATATAAGAGGTACAACAGACTATAGCATATAGTCACGTGATAAGTTTTTGTTTCGAGTTCAAGAATACATATGAGCAGAGTTACAATAAGAGTTTGTTATTTTCCATCATCTAGTGTACTCGATAGTTATAATAATATTATTTGAATATATTTCTATAAAGCGTCTTTCTGGGACGTTTGAAGTTTATTCTGGAAAATTTTGTAAGTTTTCATGTAGCGTTCTAAACATTGTTCAAATTAATTTACTGAATTTTTTTTCTGTTGTAAATTAATATTTTTATTTAAATAAAATATATATAATCTCTTGATTTATACCAGACAAAAAGTATCCATGTATAACAAGTAATATTTATGACATCTAAAAGTATTTCTTTTTTGTTTTGTAATATGAATTAATTACAATAATATTCAATAATACTTGTCGAAAGCTGTTTATTTTAATATTAATAATATTATTGCTTTAGAAAAATATAGTTGCAGTACTTATCTATTTTTTCAAAATTGTAAAAAGATTATGAAATTTATTTTAAATCTTTACAAATAAAAAAGTTATTTCTTATTGATGTACAGTAGTGCAGGTACCAATAGCATGAAGGTTACTCTTTCATTGTAAATAATTAGAAAGTTAATTTTTACATTTAATAATTTTTTGCTCTAGATCTTTTTAAATTTCTGTTTTGTATAATACATATTACTCATTTATTATCTTAACCTACACACAATTTGCATTAATTGTCATGTTCTATACAGGATTTTGCCTATAACAACTATAACAAATTTATAAATTATCAAGAAGAATTAAGAAATATTATTAAAATATGACCAGTTGTATTTTATAATACAGTCAGAAAATGCAATATTGTATTTCCAAGCTATATTATTTCAATCTTAATTTTTTTAATTAACTCCAATAAATAAATTTCAAATAAGTATTGATTATTTAAATAATAATAATGAAAATAAGTAACTACGGTAGGGTAAATGTCCTCACTGTTGGTAGCCACCTACTATAAGGTACATTGTTTTTAATTTAAAATTAAATAAGTTTTAAATTAACAAATTTAATACTGTTGTAATGAATTTATTTGATTTGTTAAAACTTGTTTTTTTGCATAAAATATCGAATCCTTGTGTTTGAAAATGTTATAAATGATCTAAAAAGTGATATATTCAACTTTTTTATTAAGATTATGAATCAAATTGGAATAAAAGAATATTTTTCTCTTTCATTTGTATAACTATTGTAATATTGTGCTTAATCTAAATTGAACAATTTTATATTACTTTTATTTTTTATTGTATATACTGCATATAGTTTTAATTGCCAATAATGGATACATGGATATCTTTAGTTGTAGTTAATAGGGATACTCCCCCATGTCTTTTGTCAAATAAGCTATGTGAAGATGGAAAAATATTAAGAAGTTTAAATCGAGAAATTATTATTATTAAATATTTTCATACCTAATATAATCTAATATGTATGTTGGCTTAAGTAGACATGTGATAATTTTTGTAATATATTGGCCTGTCCAGTGCTGGGCTAAGGTAAGAAAATGTGTCCATTGCTAGACTTTACTATATATTTGTAGTCAATTCATCATTTTATGGATAATCACAAACGTATAGACTGAAGTATACTGTTGGTTATTTTTTCATAGTTTTATTTAGATTCTAATCTATTATAATATAATTATAATTTAGTCAGCGCTAGGCCTCTTTCTAATTAGTTCTCACAAGGGATTTCTCAAAGTTTGGTTAATATTGTGATATCACAAGAATTCTTGTAAATATAGTAAATATTTCTTTATAAGTTATTAATATTTTCAAAACGATTGGAACAAAATTAAAGATTTTCAATTTAATCCAAACAATTTTTATTCAATAAATTGATAAGATTCAAATTAAATAAATTGAATTAAAATAAATGAAAGAAAAATCAAATTGAAATTAAATTTTTATAAATAAATTTAAAATATTCCATTTTTTTAACTTATTTTAAATGTTGTTATAATTAATCACAAAATGTTTGATATGCTTATCACAGTTGTTTTAACGTATCATACAAATACCACTAAATCCAACCAAGTTTTATGAGATCATTTATAAGATCAACTATGCTAAAAAGGAAGCATTAGCTGTCATAATCAGAAAGTCTCTCAGGTAGATATTTATTAGGGTATAAATACATATTTAATAAGCCTATTTATATTTATCAGGAGTAAATAATCACGATATCTTTATGTTATAGTAAGTTTTTATGTTTTTTTTTGTTTTTTATGTTAATGTTGAGACTATACTGTGTACTAATATGTCATAATGGTTTTAATATTAGAATTATATAAAAATATAAATTTAAATAAATGAGGACATAAATATAATTTAAAAAATTTATATAATTTGAAATAATAAAAATCATAATAATTATAAGAAAAAAGAGTATTTCTTATATTTATCTTGCATATTTTATCTGTAATACAGTTTATAATTTGTTTTCCATTAATACTTGAAATTATGAAAGTCATTGGTTTTGAATTACAACTTGAAGAATAATTGGAAATTAATATATCTTACTTCAGCTTTTAATAAATCAAAAATAATATCAAATCCATGAATTAACCATGTCAGGTTGTGTCTCTGGCATCCCATTAAAAGTTTATATTTGTAATTAGTGTTTTATGAATTGAAAGTAGAAATCATTATATTACAAAATCATTTATTTAATGTGTTTCAAAGATATCTTTAAAAAGATTATTCCTGAATCACTCCTGGATGTAAAAGTCAATCAGGTTACTTTTGAATTACTTTTAAAAATGTGTTTTATCATTTGAAATAGAGAAAAATCTTTGAAAACATCAATCTAAACTATTAATAAAACCTCAGTCTATTCAAATTAGTTGATAATATCTTCATATAACATGTATACTGGTATTAAAATAGAAACAAAATAATAAGCTCTCACATCTTTTATTTGGTTGAAAGTTATTTATTGCACTAAACTGCAATAAATAAATAAATATAAAATAAACAATAAATAAATAAATCAGTAAGTAAATTTGAATAATGTGAAAATTAAGCATGAAGCCAAAGTTTTCATTTCAATTCAAATGATAACTTTGGCAGACCATTTTTTATTTTAATTGATCACACAGTGTGTCAATGCTGCATTGAAATTTCAAAATTTATTATTAATCTTTTATAAGAGATTCATAATATAAAATTTCTCGAACATATTGAGGAATTGGGAATTAGTAAAATGATATGTGAAGATTGTATGCAGTTATTTAGTTATTTGGAAATACAATATAGTTAGAATGAAAATTTCTATTTAGATTTTGATGTGGAATATAAAATGTAAAATTAATTTGATTACACAATTTATTTATCACATAATTAATTCAATGATTTTTCTAACATATTCTAATTTTTAGTATATTTTGTAAGTGTTGATTAATATTAATTAACGTCCTAAACTGATTATCCCTTGATGTAAGGCTCACCACCACCTTAATTTACTGGTTGGTTATCTAATTTTTCTTCTTTTTCTTCTTACTTTTTTAATAGCCATGAGTCTTACTTTGAGACCCTGATATGCCAAAATTAAAACATAGTTCAGAGTACAAAACAATTGAACAAACCAAAGAAAGCAAATAATGTACAAAAAACTGTACAAAAGATAAAAAAGATTTAAAAAAGAAAATTGTGTAAATATAAAATCACATTATGTTATTGTATAAATGTTTTTTTACGTCTTTTGTATATGAGTATAATATATGTGCACTGTAACAGTAGCGTAGTTTATATAACGTCCTAACCTCCTATAATAAATAATATTCCTCTATACGCAGTTAACCAACACCTCATCTGTTTATTTATCCAGTGCTGCTGTATGTGTGTTCCATGCGGTTGAAAACGTGTGCGAAAACATGAATAAATCAAGGGATAAAGCCAAACTTCAAATAGTGGTTCTCACGGCAAGCGAGGATGAGACAGATGATAATAGTAGATAAAACATAAGCGATTAGATTAGGTTAGATTAACCTTAATTGAAGCTGTGAGGTATATCCTCATAAGGCCAGTGTGGCAGATATACAGAATTTTACAAATGACTGTACCGGACAGCAGTTTGTACAAATTATAGTATATTTATTTTTTTTTTTATTGTAGCGTGTTAAACCTTAACAAAAATTGAGATTTATTTCTATTTTATATCAATAGTAATTAAAAAATATGGTTTTTGATGATTGCATTGCGATGTGATGTCATATTTTTAAGTTACATTGTTCAAGAAAATCTAATATACACTACCGTCCATAAAGATTTGCCATCCCCTTGCTGAAATCATCAAAACTTTAGAGTTTTATGGCTCAGTTTCTATAAGAGTTAGAAAATCCTGCGGGGTCTCATTTGAAAGGTCTTGCCACGACCTTTCAAATGTTGCAAAACATAATTGATTTTATTTGTTTTTTGTACAACTTGTGACGTCATAAACAAATTGTCTTTTTTTTAATTTTTTCACATCAACTTCGACCCCGATTTATTTATATAACGGATTCTACGATGGAAAAACTGTATAAGCCATTCGATAGAGCTTTCAAAAAGCTACAAAATCCATATCCGGAAAAAATTTTCCGGATATGGATTTGGTAGATTTAAGAAATTATTTAATTTTAGTTTTCTACAGCATCTTTAAACAAAGTTCTACAGGATCCATATGGTACGAAAGGGTTGAGCGACTCTGTCATGTGGTAGTGGTTGATTCTGGCCCTGTTTATCGAAATAATGAGTTCTCTAGATAAATTTTTATTATGAAACGATGGCTTCCGATTTACTGCATGAAATAATTTACAATATAAATTCTCTTTAATACATACTTTCTCTAATACTCTTATTTTATTATATCTTTTATAAATGTCTGTGAAAGAGACTTTAAGAACATTTACGTAGACTTTTTTAGTAGCCTGCTTGGGTGTTTTGTCTGCTTTCTCGTTACTCTTAATCCCTATATGTGATGGTATCCAGAAAAAATGAATGTTACAATTTCTCATTTTTTTAAATAAGATATGTTTCTGTTTGACTTGGTATATATACGGATTGAAAATTTAACTGTTATCCCTTGATTTGAGGCTTTGCAGAGCGCTTAAGAAATCAATCAATATGAAAATACCTTATTTATCATTTATGAGCGTAATGTTTATTGTCATATCAAGCATTCTGCTGTATAAACTGAAGCATTATCATTGATACTTTTGTGTAGCTTAATATTTAACCCCTCAACTGGCAATATCATATATGTACAAAAAAGTCGTGCCTAAAGTGACAATGGGTCATACATGTACATATTTGCATAAATTAGATATATGGACAAAATTTGGTATGCAACTATTTTTGAGGTTGCTGAATCCAAATCTGGCGTTAGAAATGCAGAAGTTCAATATGGCGTTCTTAAAATGGCATCTTTGAATTCAAGAGAGGAAACTTTCTCAACATTTTTTACTAAATCTGGTATTCGCCGATATCATACATAATTATGCATGTAGTTATGACGAACTAATGTTTATAAAGGTTTTTGAGTTCACTGATCCTATTTCTATCAACATTTGGCCACAAAATCAGAGAAAGGGAAGTAGAGTTTGAAGCGAGGAAATTATTTTTGTGTTCATAAAATGGTTTTTCCTAATAATTCTTCTACAAATGAAAATATATTTATTATGAAATACTGAAGTATGAGTAACATAAATAGTATATTTTGAATATACTTTACAAGTAAAAAAAAATAAAACAAATTTTTATTTTATAAAAAGAAAATTATTTTGACTTCCTCTTTTAACCCTTATTTTCAATTTCAACCAATGTCGATATGACGAAAAAAACTAAGAACTGGCCGTAAAAAGCTTAAAATTAAAAAAAAATAATTAAAACTTATCACCTTCAACCCTTATTTTGAGCCCTTTATGTGAGTTGTTGGTAAAAAAAACTATAGGAATGGATCGAGCGGGTTCAGGATTTACCGCGGTTTTTATTTTCTCACCCAGTGTTTTGTCAAATTGAATTGTTGATGTATTAACTCTAAAGTCGTAGTGGTAAGCAAGACAAGAATATGCGGTTCAACTATATAAAACTATATATACAGTTGAACTATGTATATAAAACTAGCGTATTCAATATCTAATTGGACAAAACTTTTATACAAAGTGCGAAGAGTCGTAGGATCCGTTCCCTTCCACGTACCACATAGGTATCGAATAATATTATGGGCCTTATTTATGTTCAGAGTAAGCGACAATTTATAATCGCATATAAAACCTAGAAAGTGTATTCTATTGTGTGGCCATTGAAATTTATTTTTACTTATCCTGGAAGGATCTTTCTGTTATTGAAGAAAATAAGAGTCGTTTTGCTGGGTGATAAAGCTAAACCGATATTTATAAGATTTTCACTTATTGTATTGATCGATTCTAGTAGTCTCTAACATTCCAGTATCAATGGATTTGTTACATATATAACAATATCATTAGTAAATTGCAGTACAGTAACTTCTCTCAAAATGTTTTCCGTTATACTTGAAACATATATTGAATACAAAAGAGTGCTAAGAATCCCTCCCTAAGGAATACCTTTACTTACGTGCACCTAGTCATGGCCTTCAATGTTCGTGTGAAGATATCTTTCATATGTCAAGAATTTAATGAACTTGATCAGTTGTTCTGAGCAATCAATTTTAGCTAGTTTACCAGACATCAGGAGATACATTGTTAAAAGAGTCTGAAACATCCAAGAAACCATATAAGTATATTTGTTTTATTCGAAAAAGTTTGGTCGATGTCTGTAATTAAATATACCAAATTATCGTAATACGATCCGCCTTTACGAAAAGCTGACTAATCTTTTGGTAAATACTCCTTATATTCGGCCCACCATTGAAGTCGGTTTCTTTAACTAATTTTTTAAAAATTTTACCTAGAGAGGATTTAAACGAAATTGGTGTTACTGAGTTACCATCCAGCTTATTAATCAAGTATAAATGAATTTTAATATTCGTTAATATATATTTCGTTAATATTGTTTAAAAGCAAGATTTTATATCTCAACGAAAGTTTCTCAATGTCTTTATTATCCACTCTGTGTAGTTAATGGGCTGCTTTTACTTTAAACGAGTTTAAAACGTTGTAAAATTTCGCGAAATTAAAATAGTTGTCTAGGAAAGCATTATTTCTACGAGGCGATAACCAACTTGCATCTGTGTTAGCCCATAGGGGACGTAATTTACGAGGGGGGGGGGGGTGTCAATAAGTCTTTACAAAATCCAAGAGATGGTGCTCGTCACGCTTAAATTATGACGTTTTTAGCAAGTAATACTACTAACTAGATATCGTACAAAGTCTCGATTCATTAAGTCGTTTTTTTGTGAGCGTTGGTTGAACAAAAAGTTATTGGTTTATTTGAAAAATGGAAAAAACAGAGTTTCGAGCAGTGATAAAACATTTTCATTTGAAAGGCCTTAAACCAAAAGAAATGAATTTAAACGTGGCCGTACAAAAGATGAACCTCGTTCAGGACGCCCCGTAGAAGTGAGTACGCCCGAAATGGTCAATAAAATCCACGATATGGTGTTGAGTGATAGAAGATTAACATTGCGAGAATTAGTTGAGGCCACAGGAGTATCAAAGGGTACAATCATTTCAATTTTGCATGAAAAATTGGGGATGAAAAAAATATCAGCAAAATGGGTGCCGCGTTTGCTCACTGTTGAAAACAAACGAACCTGCGTGGTCACCTCTGAGGCTCTTTTGACACGCATACGTTATAATCCGGAAGACTTTTGACGTCGACTCGGGACTGTAGACGAAACATGGGTACACCACTAAACTCCTGAATTCAAAGAACAATCCAAACAATGGATTACTGCAGGAGAACCAGCCTCAAAGAAGGCAAAGACAGTAAAGTCAGCTGGCAAGATTATGGCCACGGTTTTCTAGAATGCGTATGGAATCATCTATATCGACTACTTGGAAAAGGACCAGACGATCACTGGACAATATTATGCGTCATTATTAGGTTAGCTGAAAGAAAAAAATCAGAGAAAAACGTCCTCACTTGAACAAAAAAAATGCCTCTTTCTTCAAGACAATGTTCGAGTTCACACGTGTGCAGTTTCGATGGCAAAAATTAACGATTTAAAGTTCGAATTAATTGACCATCCACCATAATCCCCCTGATTTGACTCTCAGTGACTTTTTCTTATTTTCTAACCTCAAAAAGTGGCTTGCCGGACAACGATTCACGTCGAATGAAGAAGTCATCGCCGAAACAAATGCCTATTTTGAGGGTTTTCACAAGTCATGTTTTCTGATGGCTTTAAAAAAACTGGAAGGCCGTTTAATAAAATGTATCGACCTTCAAGGAGATTATGTTGAAAAATAAAAAAAATTACATACGCAAAACTTTTTTTTCCTTCTTTTTGTAAAGACTTATTGGCCCCCCCCCTCGTATTTATGCAGGTTGTACATTGTTCTTTATATTTATTCTGGTCAATCAAGCTAGATTCTTTAACTTTAAACCAACTATTATTCAAAATTTTGCATTTATTCCATAAATATGCGCTACTTGTGTAAAAATTAATAGATTCAGCGAATTTTCTAAATAATCTTTTTTTTTTCTTTTTGAATAGTTTTGTTGTTGTAGTATATTGTTTTTTGTACTCTATACAATCATTCATATCTTTTGTAGATTTCCATTTTTTATACGCACAGCGTCTTAAGGTTTCAATTTGTTGTAATTCTCGTCCTACCAAGGGACTAAGTTTATAACCTGCTTTTTACAGTTACTTCTACGTGGAGTAGCTTTGCGTATGGAATCCATTATTATTCTCACAAATTAATCATACTTTTCCGTAGGAGGCATATGATCATATTTCCACGTGAAGAGCAAGTTACTAAATTAGCATTCTAAGCATTGATCAAATTTTGCCTATTTCAGGGATGAAAATATAAATGATTTTTTTTATAAGCTGTTTTATTTGCATCTATG